TTTTTCTATTTTTTCATACTGTATGAATAATTTTGCCTTTTCCTATTTTGCATAATTCACCTGTTAAATTTGTTGTATTTAACCTATTGTTCTGAAAATTGAGTTTTATATACCTTTTTGTGCTTATTATCATATAAAAACCTGGTATCATACAGGCATCAGATTCTGAGAAATGGATAAAAATATTAAAAATTGATGGGTGTACGAATAATTTTGCCGTTGACTGTATGCCATTTTTTACTGGAAGGAGATGTTTGCAGGTCTGTCTCTCATTGTATATAAGACTTGCCTTCTTCCTTCAGATGGAGGCATTCGTAGACTTTCAAGATGATGAGAAAGGAGACATTATCTTCACAGAAATTCAGGTTTATTTAATATGAAATTTATTCTGGAGGATTATTGCTCTAGTTCTTTGTGGGAATTGCCCAATCACAGAACTTGCTAGTCTACCTCCGTTACCCTTGACCTGCCTTATTTTATCCTTTGGTATTTCCCATTCTAAATGGTTTCCAACTTGAATGAGCTGATCTAATCTTCATTATAGAGACCAGACATCTTGCATTACTGACTTGCTACACCAGAACTAACTTCCAATTGGAAAGTTTTCTTTCTAATTGGAGAATAGTCACCCAGTTGGTTCACTCCTAATGAGACTATTTGCCCACCCAATTTAATTATCAAGACCCGCTTATATCCCTACAAGTGTGGACCTGAGTAACAACCCTCAGGATGATATTTTTAATCGACCCCTTGGAAGAGCTGGGGGGTCAAGAAAATAGGCACAAAAAACTGGCAGTTTTTCACAACTCAGGACTATACTTGGTAACCACCGCCACTAACAGTAATCAACCTTTGTTTTTTTTACCCACATTCCATCAAGGTCAAAGGCGTTTTTCGGCAATCATTCTTTTGGGGTTTTTTCTATGGTAACGAAATTTTTATTTACAGTTTGTTTGGTTTTTTTTCTTTGGAACGTAAATCAGATGGAAACTCATCGATTTAAAACGTTTAGTTACTGAACCAAGGCGATACCTGTATCACTTCTGGACAAACATGGACAGACATGCCCGCAATAAGACGTCAAAAGGACGATTTTTCCCATGACACCGCTTTTTTAACTAGCGTCACTCTTCTTCGGCAATGTTTTAAAAAGCGATGATTACAAATTGTAATTATTAACATATGAAAGTGAATTTATACATTTTCTTTGTTCTTGAGAATTGACAACAAAAATAATAAACACTATTGGAATGGTTAGCAAAACATCGGCTAAATTGCCAATTCATTCGAACTTTATAAAATGGTAAATAATGATTTCCTTTTGAATGACATAAAATTGATAAATGAAATGATAATTTGATGAATATCGCATTGCATTATTTTTTAATTCTAATTGATTTTATTTTTATTTTTAACTTTTCATGCTGCAAAAAAATATTCTTGTAAATAAACAATCTAATAAATACTAGTGTTTTTGTTTTAAATTCTCAAGAACAATGGAAATGTATAAATTCATTTTCATTCCATCATGTGTTTAGGTTTTATTCCAATTCTAATCATTGCTCTTTAAAACAATAAACATTGCCGAAAAAAAAGGGGAAAGTAGTTAAAATAAAAGCGGTGTCGTGGGAAAAAACGTCCTTTTGACACCACGTCTTATTACGGGCACATTTGTCAATGTTTATTGTTTATCCAGAAGTCTTTGTGCATCCAGACTGTTTGAAACTTAACTTCACTATAAATTTGCTTAATTAAACATTTTAAAAAGGTGATGGGTGTAAAAAATGATTTAAAATGGATTATATTTGTTACGAGTACAAGGGATTTTACCCAAAGCCAATTATTAATTTAAAAAATGATATGCACTTTTACTCGTTTGTTCATTTATGAAATGTAAAAGAAAAGAAAAGCTAATGACAGGGATAGAGATGCACTTCATCAAACTGAACTTGTAGAGATGACCTGACCATAAGCAATGAGTTCGATCCTCATGAGTTGCCATACATACTTGTAGCCTTGAGCTAAAACCCCAAAAACTAAACAATCCTAAGTACAACTAAGTAGTACTTTAAGAAATATCTTCTCTTCTTAAATAAGGAATTAAATTTAATTCCTGTAACACTGTGTGTTGTAGTCTCTCTCTCTCGGCTTACGTGTTCGTCTTCTTGTCGGTATTTTAAGAACACGTCCACTCAAACAGAATCTGACACAAGGCTGGGGTTAAAGTGGGAATTCAAAATTTCTAAAAAAAATTATTTTTTGAATGTATTTATTTTTAATCCGACATTATTTTTATTGCTTTTAAAAGTCCAAAAAACAGTGGATACCTGGGTTGGGTTTGAAATAGACACTCTGTTGTTAAATGTAATAAGTACGCACACTTTAAAAAATAAAATGGGACGTCTATTTCAAACACGAGTATCCACTAACCTTTTTTGAAATAAAAATGTCGGATTAAAAATAATAAAAAATGAATATTGTATTAATTTTTTAGTCTGTTTTTTTTTAATAAATGTGTTTAGTTTTTGTAATAATGTCATGAAGAACTTAAAGTGATGTTTTCAACTGAAATAAAAAAAAAAGAAAAGAAAGAGAATTACTGTCCCATAAAATAGTTGTTATATTTTTGTTGTGTGTGATGCAAATAACCTAAAAGTAGAAAAAAAATCTACGGCGAGGGTTTTTTTTAATCATTTGAAAGACGGCAACAATTCAAAAATTAAAGTTAAAACTAAAAGTAATATTTTTTTACTTTTTTTCGAGATTGCATTTTTTTTTAAAAATTGAAAACCATTTTTAATGTTTGAATATGTTTCGCTTCTTTTCAAGATGATTTCTTGATTGACAATTTTTAAAGGCCTTTAGTTTTAAAATGAATGGTTCAAATTTATTATTTATTAAATAATCGTACTTGTAAATAAAAATAACAAAAAAGTAAGAACTATTTTTATGGGTTTAATTAAGTTTGAATTAATTAGTTTTATTGACTGACATTGTTCTTTTGAAATGTATTATTATTGTATGTATTGTAAAGTATTGCAGCCAGTGGGGATCGAACTCACTAGGTTCCTTGCTAAAACTACTGCTTCATAGCAAAGTATCTTTCTAAGCTTTAGTCTGGCACAAGGCTACAATTTTTAGCATATTTTTAGTTTAAAGATAGAATTCTAGGTCCACGAGCTCTTACTAACCAAATCATTCCAAGCCACACACACACACAATTTATTTATTTATCATTTTCTTAGTGGTCCATTGTTACTTACTGTAAAAAAAATAAATAAATAAATAAATAAAGATTAATAAATTACAATCGACCTAAAATCGTTATGAAGTTGATCATTGACCGATTTTTAAGTAATTTTTTAAGCCATTTCTTTCAAAATGAAAAAAAAAATCCAATCTTTCTCTGCTGAATTTGTTTCAGTAGGAATGAATGTCAGCTGGGAAGGATCAAAACATTTAAGGGTTAAAATTTAAAAACAAGATTTAAAACAAAAACAAAACATAAATATAAAATAAATTAAAAGAAAATACACTGCGATTGCAGAAACTCAATCTAACAAAAAAATTTCAAACAAACCAAAGAGATTCTTTTCACAACCATTGTATATTTTATTTTTAGCATAGAATGATGCAATTCTTTCTTTAATTAATTCAGAATTTATCCAAATTAAACTTAAGCTACTTTTTTATTTAATGTATTTGACCATTTTTTTTTTTTTTGAGAATTTTATTTATTTATGGGTTGAAATTTTTTTAAAAGTTCTATATTTATTTAAGAACTTTATTTTTTTTTTTTAACATGGATTGAATTTTTAAAAGGACAGGATTTATCACATAATTTTAAATATTTAGGAAACCATAAAATCTATTTCTTAAAATTAAAAACAAAGAAAACATGGAAAATTCAATTAAAAAGAAGAGGGGAAGTAAACAAAAAAGGTTCATGTGATTAAATTTCAATCCATTTTTTTAAAACAATTTTAAACGAATAAAATGAAAAAAAATACGCCATAAGTTATTCTGTTTTTTAAAATAAATAGAAAAAAAGTATCTTCTCTTTTTATGGAGGAGGGTCACGACTCATCAATCAGATCTAATTTTCAGTGATTTTAATTTATTTTTAAATGTTTTCTTTGTTCAAAGTCAGAATTTACGACTTTAAAAAAATGAAAGGAAAGTAAGAGCATAAACCAAAAACTGTTTTTTGCCTGAGAGGATCAATTATCAATTATTGTGATTATTCACCATTGTTTTCTCTGTCAATAAATAGAAAATGTTTTACTTTTAAATTATTTAAATTTAATTGATGCAACAACCCCGAGTCATAAGATTCTATTATTTTGATTATTTTTGAAACGTAAAAGAATAAAAAATGTCTCTTTAATTTCGACCCTGAGCCCAAACAGGCAGCTTTTTCAAAATTAAATCAGCAATTATAAAAAAATTAAAGTATTTTTGTTAACGCAACCAATACTTGGTATCCATTGTTTTAAAAAAAGTGAAAAAATATACAACAGCTGGAATAAATTACAAATAGACAGAAATGTAGACAACATTTTCTCCTTTCTTTATATAGCATCATAAGACAACATTATTTTAATTTTTTTTTTTTTTTTCGTAAAATTTAAAGTTATTTAATCTCAAATCTTAGTCATAATCCAGTTACTGTGTTTAAATAATTCTATTTTGTTTTTGACATTGTTTAAAATGGTTTGGGGTTTTGTTAGTTAGCATGATTACGAAATAATTATTAATATTCTTTCTAGTTTTTTAATATACTCCTTTACCTTAAAGTTTAAAGCTTAAAGTAGCACATTTAATTCCAACAAAACGAAATATAACTTTTAAAAGTATCTTAAAAAGTTAATTCAATAATTTTTGCAATCTTTTTGTTTTTTAGTGTTTTTTCTTTTCCGTTATTTTTTTATTTATTTTTTTACTTGAATACGTGTAAAACTGCACGACGTACAAAAAAAGCATAAATTAAAAGAATTTACCTTGCCGTCCGTGTTTGATCCATTTGGAAATATAATGACCCTCTTCATCTCTTGGGGAAATTTGGTAAAAATACCCTATTTCTACTTTTTTTTTTTGTTTTGTTTTGTCTTCTTATGTCTTGTTTTCTTTTTATTGTTTAAAATAGATCAAGGGAACCCCAAAACAGCAGTCGCCCTGCTGAGATTGGGCAGCGGGGCCGCTACTATCCTAAGCAACTATACACATGCGAAATAAAAAATAAATATTTTTTATAAATATCTATTTCTTTTAAATAGCTTCAAAAAACAAGCTCATATTCAAGTTTTGCATCAAATCGTTTATTTTATCTTAATTTTTTAAATAATATGTCATAAAATATACTATATACACGTTTTATTCTTTGTTAGGAGAACCAAGCACATCATACGAAATATACCGGTCACATGGTTTTGCTTTTTGATGATGTAAGAGGTAACCGGTGTCAACTGTAAAATGTCAACTTTAAAAGGGAGAGGGTAAGGGTTACTCCCTGATTCTTGAGGTGTGCCGAGAAAGTTGAACAGTTTTTGTCACGAGTCTTCTTATGAATTAGTGGGACTCTCACTTTAAACACAACCTTTTTTTTACCATATTCCATTCGACTGGGCGTACGGATAAATGTTAATTCCTAATAGGAAAGTGCCGAGGGAGCTGAGCATTTCATTTTTTTGTCTCGAGCTGCACTTCTTGTGAAAGTCCCACATTAAAACCCAATTTGTGACATAAGTGATCATGGGGCTATAATACTACGTTAAACTAATAAATACTGGTGACAAAAAGCTCATAAAAATGCTTATTTACAATTATTACTCAGTTCTGGGATGTCTCCCAAGCATTGTCTCTCCCTTGGGAGAGGGCCGGGGCTCAGTGTTGCCTGAGGCGTCCCAATAGAGAAATAAAAGATACTGAGCAGTTTTTATTTTGAGTTTCGTACATTTTGGACTTACACTTTTTAATCCCAACCTTGTTCCATATTTTTTTTTTGCGTGGGTGTGTTCATAAATAAATAGTACTGACAAAACAAATATGCGTCCTGGGTAAGACAATAAGTTACAAACATCCAACAGCAAGGCCTCTGATTGCGAGGTTTTGAGGAACGTGGAACCACCTCTTAATTGCTGGTGTTCACAGGTCCATCCTGACCCAATGTGGTAGCACCTGTTAGGGTCCCAGCTATGGGCAAATACTTAAATTCCAAACGGGTCAAGATACCATGAAAGTGTAAAAATAGGTTTTAATATCAGTAACACATTATTGTAAAAAATTATTACCAGCAATGAATTTTTGAAGAAAAAAATTATTCGCAGCAATACATTTTTGAAAAAAATATTACCATCAATAAAAATCTTGTCGACATGAAATAACCCACTGAGGTTGATATGGCATAAAATAAAACAAACCCCACCAAACAAGACTAATACATTAACCATAGGTTCTCTAATATAGTTTCTGAAACATTGATTTTATTTAAATTTAAACATGTAAAAGAAAAGAAAGACTAAAGAAGGAGTATTAGTTTTGTTTTAAAAAAAAAACAACTTTAAGGACAGACAGTGTTAATTTAAAAAAAAAAAAGAGAGAGAGGGAGACTTTTCAGCTAGATTAAAAAAGTACTCTACAGAATTTTTTTTACTAATGTTCACCCTCTTAACATTGTAATGGTCAGGAAAGCATCATCTTGGGAGTCAGTTCCAGAAAGTAATGGTTTGTGGGAAGAAGCTGTTTAAGTAGAAATTCATTCTTACTAATGGAATATAAAAGGAATGAGAATGGTTTGCCTTAGTGTATTTGGTATGATGAATCTTGCTTAGAGTGTTAGTGTTTGCAGAACTAAGGAATGTAGCTTGTCAGAAGATTTTCCATGGAAATAGCAATTGAGTAGGGAGAGACTTGCAACATTTTGTCTTTGGGAAAGGAGTTGTAGGATGGAAAATAATTCATTACACACAAGGCTGTGTAAATGCTTTTGAACCCCATGAAAACTGGGCAGTTCCAGCTCAGCTATGGCAGAAGTACATTTTCAGCCTGATCTGGCTATTGTAAAGAGAGATCATAATAGGAGGAGCCAGGTAATTATTTGAGTGGTACAGAGAACCAACCCTTTTTCTAGCATCTTTAGTAATAGATTGTATGTACAAGTTCTAAAAAAATTAGAAATTAGTAACAAATTTATTTCCAAGCAATGTATTGTCTTCATCTTTGTTGTTATCACAATGTTTCAGTTGTTGTGCTCTCCAGCTTTCCACAGGTGTCTGTTGATCTGGGTAAACTATAAAACAATAGCTTAGTGTATTAAAGTGTTGATTTGTTAATTTGGTGACATAGTAATTGTGAGTTCAATCCCTGGGCTGGGCAGTGTGTACTTGGGCTCAGTAGAAACTGGGTGAGCAATAACTGAGCAGTACTTTAAACAATAAGAACTAGATGATTGACAGTGGAACAAGAAGAGTCTGCCCCTGTAGATTAAATCAGACTCTTCTCATTCCACTGCCCAAAGGCTCTGTTTGGAATTCCCTGTAGGTTACTTAGAGCAATGTGTGTCTGATGATAGCTGGAAGGTACAATGGTTTGGTTCGGTTTGTTTTATGGCATATCACCCTCAATGGGTTATTTAATGCCGACAAAATTTTTATTGCTGGTAATATTTTTTTTTTTTAAAAATCTATTTCTTGTAATATTTTTTCTTCAAAAATGTATCACTGGTAACATTTTTTCAAAAATGTATTGCTGGTAATAATTTTATTCTTCAAAAATTTATTGCTGGTTGGGATATCAACAATAAAGATGAGGACAATAGTCCACTTGTAAATGTATGAATAATGATAACTCCTCATTTCAGAAATCCAGACAGAAATTAACAATTTGTTGGTGAATAATGGGTGACATTATAAATTATAGAAAATGAAACTTTCACAAATGCGTATTCCTTCCTATGTTAAATATACATGTGCCAAAAACTCATCATCATCAGAGCTGTTTTGACTTGAAGGTACACTGCAAACATAGACCTTCATGTCCACAAAAAAATGGAGCATCAAAAAGACAATTTTTCCCATGACACCCCTTTTATTTTAATTCCCTTCACTCTTCTGCAACGTTTATTATTTTAAAAAGCGATGATTAGAATAAGAATAAAAACTAAACATATGAAAATGAATTCATACATTTTTTTTTTTTGCTCTTGAGAATTTAGAACAAAAATGATAAACACTATTTATTTATTAGATTGCTTATTTATACTATTTATTATTGAAATGGTTGGCAAAACATCAGCTAATTGCCAATTGATTTAAACTTTATAAAATGGTAAATAATAAGGATTTCTCTATAGTTGATTTACTTATTCTAATAATTTAGTAAATCTAATAAATTTACACATAAAAAATTGTTTCCAGATTTATTTCTTTATAAATTGGTAAATGATAAATATTGTATTAGTTTTTAGAATATTGGTTTGGTTTGGTTTGGTTTGGTTTGGTTTGGTTTGGTTTAGTTTGTTTTGTTGTAGAGCATACCAACCTCAATGGGCTATTTAATGCCGACAAGATTTTTATTGCTGGTAATATTTTTTTCAAAAAAAGTATTGTTGGTAAAATTTTTCTTTTTCAAAAATGTACTGCTGGTAATAATTTTTCCAAAAAAGTATTGCTGGTATTAAAATCTATTTTTATACTTTCATAGTGTTTCGACCCCTTTTGAGGATTAACTATTTACCCATAGTTGGGACCCTAACAGGTGCTACCAACTTGGGTCAGGGTGAACCTGGGAACACCAGCAATTAAGAGGTGGTTCCACATTCCTCAAAACCTCCTGATCAGAGGCCTTGCTGTTGGATGTAGTTTATCATCTTACCCAGAGTGCAGATGTAGTTTATCGTCATACCCTGGACAGTTAGAATATTGTAAATCTAAAATTATTCTTGTAAATAAAGAATGTAATGGATAATAGTGTTTTATATTTTACCTGTAAATTCTCAAGAACAAAAAAAATATATAAATTCACTTTCATCATATGTTTAGGTTTTATTACAATTCTTGTTATCACTTTTTAAAACAATAAACACTGCTGAAAGTGAAGGTAGTTAAAATAAAAGTTGTGTCATGGGGAAACTGTCCTTTTGACTGCATTTTTTTAGAAGCATAATATTGGATTTTTGACCAACAGAAGCATAATATACTACTTTTACCCAATAGAAACATAATATCCATTCTTACCCAATAGAAATATAATAATTTATTTTTAGCTAATAGAAACATAATATTCATGTTTTTCCTAATAGAAACATAATAATATATTTTTGCCCATTAAAACATAATATTGTATTTTTAACCAATAGAAACATAATACCATTTTTACCCATTAGAAACATAATATTGTATTTTTCCAAAATAAAAAAAACATATTGTTTTTTTGACCAATAGAAACAAAAACCCAATAGACCATAACATGTATTTTTACCCAATGGAAGCATAATATTGTATTTTTACCCACTAGAACAGGGGTCATCAAACTTTTTTCCCAGAAGCCCAGATAACTGAGAGAATGACAAGCATGGGCTGAATAACCATTTTGTTCAATACAATATACTGAACATGGCAATGCAAATTAAAACCTAATTGCTGCAGCAGGCTTGTAATTGCTTTCCTTAGAAACTTCATTGCAGGGACTTCCACAAAAAGTACTCACATATCAAAAGTCACTAAATATTTTATTTCACTGATTTTCCTAAAACTTATATTACTCTCAGATGCAAAAATCAGATTGGCCAAATTTTGACATTTTTACTTACATTTATTTTAATTTTTTCTACATAGTAAGTTTAACTACAATCTATTGATAATTCAATATAAATAAATATATTTTAGCTCAAGTGCAGCAGTAGGCAGGATGAACTGATATAGCTGTCTGGATCCAGTTTGTGGGCCGTAGTTTGGTGACCCCTGCACTAGAAGCATAATAATGTATTTTTACCCAATAGAAACATAATATTGTATTTTTTACCCAATAGAAACATAAAATGTATTTCTAC